TCATAACCACTGAGGCACACCTCACTTCTTTCCTGGATGACTGTGGGATATCAGCTGAATTACCAGAACATAATTTGTAGTCTCACATACAACCAAAGTGTACTTAAGCTCTGCCTTTCCTTTCCAAATGTTTTTTATTTTTATTTTTATTCTTATTTTTTGTTTGTCATCTTTGCCTGTGTTTTACTCTTAATTATTTGGTCTTAGTTAATCCCCTTGTTACTAAACCTCGGGCTTTTTATTACCGTTACTTAAAGTAACTTGGTATTTGTTTCTTGTAATCATTTATTGCACTTAATTAATAGTATAATTGTTTATATAAGCATCTACCTCAGTATCATAGTAAAATCATTCCACATGAATATACTCTCACCCTGTTTATTTTTACACTTAGATTTATATTAGAGTAAATTTCAAGATTTAATTAGATTTAAATGTCATCTCTTTTTCTTTTTTTTCTCTCTCGGAATTATATATTTGAGCTCACTTTGTTTTCTTGGGTTCATACCAATTATAGGATTTTAATTAACCATTACTAAGCTAATTATCTTCAAGATCATTTTACTTTATGATTATTATTTTTCTTATTATTTTTTTATTTTACATTTATATTGTCAGTCTCTACTGATTTTTTTGTTTTTTATTTTATGTAACTTCTGTTTCCTCCCTGGCTATCTATTGGATCTTTATTTTACTTCTAAATTGTTACTATTTTATTGTATTTGCTTCTATTCTTGTGTTTTGCTTTATCGTGTATCTTGTATCGTGATCCCTCTGCATCTCAATGCACACTGATATTGATCCTGATCAAAATCTTCTGTCTCATATCTATACCAACCAGCACATTGATCATCATTATTGCAAGTATTTCACAGCACACCAGGCTAAAGACAAACTCCAAAATAGCACCTATCTATCAGTTTACAACCAAAACGTTAGATCACTTGGTAAACATTTTGACGATTTAAATGCATTACTAACAGCACTAGGTACTAACTTATCGTTCATTATTTAAACAGAAACTTGGCTAAATAAAGACTATACCCAACTCTACAACTTAGCTGGTTATAAAGCCATTCATAACTGTAGGCCTAATAAAAAAGGTGGTGGCACAGCTATATATTACCGTGATACATTTATCTGCAACAGTGTTATTAGTGACAGAGATGACTACTGTGAATATACTTTTGCTCAGTTTACAATTAAATCCCTTAAATCCTCTTTGACTATTGGAGCCATCTATAGATTTCCCAATACTAACATAGCTTCTTTCTCAGACAACCTAAGGAATCTTATTATAAACAACAATCTCAACAAAAACCACATCATTCTGGGAGGAGACTTTAATATTGACCTGGGTCAACAAAATTGCTCTCAAGTTGACTATTTCCTTAACAGCATGAACTCCTGTATGCTAATCCCCACAATCACCAAACCTACCCGAGTCACTCAAACATCAGCCACTACCTTGGACCACATATGGACAAACATAACAGCTCCCCTTGTATCTGGTATAATCTACGACAGAACAACTGACCACTATCCTACCTTTCTCATAGCAAACATGGACATAACACCACCAAAAAGCAAGAAACTTTCATTTAGGCTACACAGTGAATCAGCTTCAGGCAATCTTACAGATGCACTTCACAATATTAACTGGGATTCTGAATTCAATAATACCCATGATATAAATTCATTAGCTAACCTCTTCCTCTCCAAAACTCTAAGCCTCTACAACCTTCATTGTCCCCTTCTTACCAAGCAAGTAACTGACAAAAGATTAAACAATCCATGGCTCACGAGTGGCATTCTCAACTCAATCAACAAGAAACATGAATATGAAAAGAAACTTAGGATTGGCCTAGTTTCAAAGGAAGTAGCTAAAAGGTGCTCATCAATGCTTACCAGTATCATAAGAAAGGCAAAACTTGCATATTATGTGAATAGATTCAATGAAGCAAAAGGCAACATGAAAAGCATTTGGAAAATAATCTCTAGTATCCTAGGAACTAAACAACACTCACATAACCAAATAAAGCTCTACAAGGATGGGGATATACCGTCAACTGATTTAGAAATGGCAAATGAATTTAATAGTTTCTTTTCATCGGTTGGTGCTAATCTTGCCAGTAAAATCCCACAAATTCAGACACATATTAACACATATCTCTCAGGCAGCTATCCAAACTCTTCTCCTTTCACCAATCAGCCCGGCAGATGTGTCCATCATACACTCTCTGAAAACCAAGGCAGGGAACACCAGTGAAATTCCGTCCATTGTATACAAGAGAGCCTCCCATGCCCTTGCCCCACCCATAGCCCTACTGTTCAACAAATCTATAGAGTGTCACACCTTCCCTGATATCCTTAAAAAAGCAAGAGTAACGCCAGTCCATAAAGGAGGGAATCCGGCGGACATAAACAATTATAGGCCAATATCAAATCTACCCATTCTATCAAAAATATTTGAAAAAATTATTTACAAACAGCTCTATTCCTACCTCGTAAAATTCGACATACTCAGCCCCTGCCAGTTTGGCTTCCGGTCCCAAAAGAGCACCAACGATGCAATCATTAGTCTCTTTGACGTATCTACTCAGACCTTGACAAAAATGAGTTTCCGATTGGACTCTTCATTGACCTAAGAAAAGCCTTTGATACTGTTAATCACAACTACCTCTTACTTAAACTCCAGCATTATGGAATCCGAGGCCTTGCCCTTGACTACATCCGATCCTATCTTAGTGACAGACACCAATATGTAACCATCAATGATACAACTACTTCCACTCTACCAATTACCGTTGGAGTGCCACAGGGCAGTATCTAAGGACCTCTTCTATTTCCTATATATATAAACGATCTGCCTAATGTCTCTAATATTCTCAAACCTATATTGTCTGCTGACGATACTACCCTTATCTATTCAGACCTCAACCCACATACACTAAATAATGTTGTGAATAATAAATTAAAAAAAGTCCACTTATGGATGTCAACGAACAAACTAACATTAAACATCGAAAAGACTTACTACATCTTATTTGGAAGCAAATCATCAAATCCAATTCAGCTACAGATAGACAACATTAACATCAGTAATAAAAATGATGGCAAGTTTCTTGGCCTATTCCTAGACTCAACTTCAGCACCCACATTCAACACATAACCAAGAAAGTCTCTAAGACAGTTGGTATACTCTCCAAAATCAGATATTATGTTCCTAACTCTGCTCTCCTATCACTATATTATGCACTTATCTACCCCTATCTTAATTATGGTATCTGTGCATGGGGGTCTACCACTGCAAACCACCTTAAGCCCATCATCACGCAGCAAAAATCTGCTATCAGAATAATAACTACTCTGCTTTCAGACAACACTCAGCTCCCTTGTTTAAATCTCTAAACTTGCTAAATATTAACTCCCTCCACACATTCTCCTGTGTCAACTACATTTACAAAACCCTGTTCTTAAATGCAAACCATGCTCGGAAACTCTTCCTGGACAGATGTAATAGGACCCATTATCACCACACCAGAAATAAATATCTCTTTGATATCCCCAGGGTCAAACTTAATCTGTGTAAACACTATGCAAATTAAGGGACCTAGTCTATGGAACTCACTCCCTAATGAATTGAAAAACTGTAAAACTTTTGCCTTATTTAAAAGCAAAACCAAAAAGTACCTAATTTCATCTTCTTAGTTTCCTACATTGAGCTTTAAATTTGCTCTGTACCTAGTGTTACCCAATCTCCTAATTTTTATGTATTTAACCCAAACAACCTTATCATTGTGTTCATTGCTGTCTTCTTTTATGTGCTAGCCATATGCTGTATTGTGCCTACCAATTTTTTTCAACTACCATTCAAGCCGTCATTGCAATCAATCTTAGCTACCTATGTGCTTTAATATACTGTACCTACAATTTTCTCTAATTTTTTTTCTTCTTGCCATGTAACTGTTATAATTTTTTTTATAAATTTTGCAAGTATTTACCTACTTAAAATTTTCTTAGATTAAGGACCTGACCGAAACGCTGCATGTACTAGTGGCTTTACAAGACTGTAATCATCATTTTATGTATCCTCACATTCCCAATGTACCTTCTTGTATATGCATAACTAAATAAATAAATAAATAAATTGCGGTATATATATGTGTGGTATTTGGAAACCCCCATGTTCTCCTTCACTTAATGGATATTACAGTTGCCCTTGGATTTAAATAAGCAAAGTAAATTATACAAACTAATTCCCAAGATTTATTACTGAAGTTCCTACGACCCGGGAGTTCCATGATTACTGATTCCTTGCCTTTCTGGGGGATCGGTGATAGACACAATCATTAATGAGTTATTAATTATTAGTTATAAATTAATAACCCCTATTCTTGCTGTGCCCTCCTCATTTAATATTCAGTTTATATTCGCGGCAGTTCAGTGAGGGGGGTCATACTGAACTGTAGCAGTGTTAAGCTGGGGTTTTGAGCGAAGAAGTAGGAGGGTAGGAAAGATTCATTAAACGTAAGATTCAGTCCCATTACAATGAGCTAGAGTTTGGTAATTGTTTTGATTTATTGTTCTACGTCTGAAATATGACTGTTTAAAATTGGGCTATTGGTAACGAAACTATACTAATAAACGCGGTTTCTGACAAATTTTGGTCTTAATGGACTCCATCATATTTTTGGACTTCTACTGGACTCTGTTAAATTCCGGTCTTACAGCTGATCTCTGATAAATTTGTTTTTTTTTTTACTAGACTCTGACTAATTTTTGGTCTTACAGCTGAACTCTGTCTCGTTTCGGTCCACAACTGGACTCTGACAAATTTTGATCCTAAAACGGACTCTGAATATTTTTTGGGTTGAAAATGGTCTCTGTCATATTTCGGTCTTCAACTGGATTCTGATGAAAATTGGTCTGAAAATGATATCTGATGAAATTTGGTCTTCTACTGGTGTCTGTTAAATTTCGGCCTTTTTTCTGGACTCTTACTCATTTTGGTCTTTAACTGGATCTGACAATATTTGAATTTCCTCCATAAGAACTCTTTAAGAGTGCAGGTGCAAGTAAAACTCTGAAATATTTTGGTCGTAAATGGACTCTGACTATTTTTTGGTCTCTGATGAAAATCGGTCTTAAAACTGACTCTGATTAATTTCGGTCTTCAACTGGTTTCTGACTAATTTTCGGTCTTTTACTGGACTCTGATGAAAATCGGTCTGAAAATGGTCTCTAATAAAATTAGGTCTCCAAATGGTCTCTCAATAATTTGGGTCTTTTACAGGTGAAATCGCAGTATATGACTATAAAAACTAAAACTTACTGCTAAGATGTCTATTTTCCTTAACAAAACTTCTATGACAATATTATCTGAAAATGGTCTTTGTGAATTATTTTGGTCTTAAACTCGTAAATAAACTTCTATGATCTTATGAACTATTTTCCTAAAACTGAACTCGGAAAAATTTTGAATTTCTCCCATAAGAACTCTTTAAGAACGTATGAGTGAATTTTGGTCTGAATTTTCCCCATAAGAATCCTTTAAGAACATATGAGTGATTTTGCAAAAAAGCAATAATTGAACGTAGAGTTTATTTTTAAAAAAGATGAGAGCGGACTTTGCCCCTGAATTTTTCTATAAGATTTTCTTAACAAACTTCTATGAACTCTAAAACTATTTTCAATTTCCCTCATAAGAACCCTTTAAGAACTCAAGTACGATTTTTGCCTTGAATTTCCCCCATAAGAAATCCTTAAGACCTCAGGTACGATTAAAAAAAAAATCGTCGCTGCGCCGCCATCCCTACTACTCACAACACATATACAGAGTGTGAGTGAACACTGGAACACATATATACAATGTGAGTGAACATCGGAACACATATATACAATGTGAGTGAACATCGGAACCCATACACAAAGTGTGAGTGAACACCGGAACCCATATACAAAGTGAGGGTGAACACCAGAACACACACATATAAAGTGTGAGTGAACACCAGAACACATATACAAAGTGTGAGTGAACACTGGAACACATATACAAAGTGTGAGTGAACACCGGAACACATATACAAAGTGTGAGTGAACACTGGAACACATATACAAAGTGTGAGTGAACACCGGAACACATATACAAAGTGTGAGTGAACACTGGAACACATATACAAAGTGTGAGTGAACACTGGAACACATATACAAAGTGTGAGTGAACACTGGAACACATATACAAAGTGTGAGTGAACACTGGAACACATATACAAAGTGTGAGTGAACACCGGAACACATATACAAAGTGTGAGTGAACACCGGAACACATATACAAAGTGTGAGTGAACACCGGAACACATATACAAAGTGTGAGTGAACACCGGAACACATATACAAAGTGTGAGTGAACACCGGAACACATATACAGAGTGTGAGTGAACACTAGAACACACACATATAAAGTGTTAGTGAACACCGGAACACATATACAGTGTGAGTGAATGAAAGCATCGCGTGCTAACAAATATTGAAACATACTTTTCCTTGATGGCTTGTTGGAGTCCGTCGGCGTGGGAGGCGGCAACGTAGGTGCGGGCAGCCACGGCCCTGAACAAGGTAGAGTTGGACTGCTTGTAGAAGTTATAGAAGTAGAGGTAGATGTCGGGATGCATCGCCACCCTGTCAAGACAAAATGAACTCTTATTACGAGTTTGTGATCAAGAAAGTGAAATTTTGTCTACACAAAGTTTAAAATGTGGTGAGATCTTCATTTTCTTATTAAGAGATATGGTATTATTTGTCAACTAAATCAGGTATTATTCATTGATTATTTGTCGGAAAAAACGGACTTCATTTACTTGCATTTATTATAATAGGCAGTTAATATTACTGCCGTTTTATTATAAGCAAATTCGATCATGGAACACGTGGCACAGTGGAAATTTCCTCTCATAGAAAACGAGATATCATTGCCACATGATGTTATTAAATTCACCAGCCAAATAATGGGAAACATCATTGATACATCGGTCTTTGGACTGTAAACATCGGAAAGGCATTTCCCTTTAATCAACTTAATTACTAGTACCAAACTAGAGTAAATGTAGGCCGTCTTTTCACCACTTCTTGACCTCTGGACAAAACAACCAAGGCATCAGTGGGAGGAGGATCACAGTGAGTCACTACTTAATTTAATAACAAGTCACGCTGGGGTAAATCAAGCTCCGATAATTCTCCCTTGGACAACTGTGTTATGGAAAGTAAAGTGCTCCCGTTATCAACACAACTTCATCAACTATCAAGGGAGGTGTCTTTTCTGATTCCTATACTATCTAGCTTATTACTGGCCTTTAATGTTTCCATTTAGGAATGCCGGTTAGCACACGAAACTAAACACAAAACAAGGTAAATATTCCTTGGACCTTTAATAAATCATTACAATATTTCCTCTGATATAGCTGTCATATTATGATTGCCGTTATTATTTGTGAGTGTCCTTTGACAGTTGTAATTGAAGAGGAAGAAGAATTAACACTAGTTACCTAGTACACCAATACAGGTGTTGATGACAGCCTCAACAACGAGGATTATTTGGTGTGATCATCCTTGTTGACAACTGGTGAGCTAGGCCCACTATGTAGAGGTAAGGCCTCCCCACTTAGTTTTTGATATATATACAAGAGTTGTTACATTCTTGTAGAGCCACTAGTACGCGTAGCGTTTCGGGCAAGTTCTTAATCCTATGGTTCCTGGAATACGATCCCCTGCCGCGAAGAATCGTTTTTTCATCCAAGTACACATTTTACTGTTGCGTTAAACAGAGGCTACAGTTAAGGAATTGCGCCCAGTAAATCCTCCCCGGCCAGGATACGAACCCATGACATAGCGCTCGCGGAACGCCAGGCGAGTGTCTTACCACTACACCACGGAGACTGCTAAAAATATATGTAGTGTAATATTGTAGTGAATGTCTAGTAACCAATAATTTATATTGATGACTACATAAATAAACCATAAACCCCCCAGAATGTGTAAGGAAAGGGATTTGTGAGAATATAAAATCATACAGTCCAATTTAAACATCAAACAGTTTGCTATTGAAAAATATAAATTATTGTAAAATATAAATTACTATATACATTAATATAACTTAATAAATATATAATGGTCAAAAATATATAAATGGTCAAAAGATTGGACGATGCAGATTAATGCTGACAAATGTAAGGTTTTGATGCTAGGCAATGGTGATAGAGTTACAAGATACAAGCTAGATGGTTTTGAGATTGCGAAGTCGGTCTGCATCCTTCCAAATGGATTACCAAAACCGCCATTGTACTCAGAATGTATAATATTCAACACCACTACCTAGAGAGACAACAACGACACTTTCCTGCCCCATGGGAGATCACTCCTTTTCAAATTACTGTCCACTTTTCCCACCCAAGAAGCTGATTAAAAAACAACTACTGTTGTTCTTTAATCAATGGAACAACCCCCATTGTACTTTGCTTCGTCCAGAAGCAAAGTACAATGCCTTAAGCCAAATTGATGCTTTAGTCAGAGAGCGCATCCTTTTCCAAATTATTTACACTGATGGCTCCTTACCCCAGTCTATGGTGCAGCTGGGAAGTACGGTTGTTGTGACAGAGATGGTTCCTTCTCCCATGAGTGTGGAGCACGTATTAATAACTGGACCTCCACTCTTCAAACAGAATTGGTTGCCATAATCCTTGCACTCGAGCGCGTATATGAATCTAAAGTTGAGACGCTAATTGTAAGTGACTCTTTGTCATCCTTAAGTGCCCTCAGCTCCACAAGGCATAACTGTGATGTCCTTGTGTCTGAAGCTAGACACAGATATAATGAAATAATCAGTGATGGAGTCAGAGTTTGTCTCCTGTGGATTCCTTCCCATATTGGTCTCCGAATGCACGATAGAACTGATGAGTTGGCCAAGACTTTTGCTCATAAAGAGGGAATTGATTACCATCTTGGACTACCTTTGAGCAGCCTGAGGGCAGTAATATTCCGGGAACATCAACAAAATCTCGTAGATGTAAGGCAAAGAGAAATTCACACGAATTGCTCCATCTATCATCATTCTATTATGCAGGAAGAACTGCACGTCTATGGTTCATCCAGTAAGGTTAGCAGACGTCTAGATGCTATCACTGCTAGGCTTAGGCTCGGCTACAAGTACCTCCGGGAGTTTATAACATCTGTTGATATAGATATGACTAAATGTAAACTGTCAGCAGCACTATTCGCATACTTTGCCTCATTATTATTATTATTATTTTTTTTTTTTTGAGATATATACAAGAGTTGTTACATTCTTGTACAGCCACTAGTACGCGTAGCGTTTCGGGCAAGTCCTTAATACTATGGTCCCTGGAATACGATCCTCGCCGCGAAGAATCGTTTTTTCATCCAAGTACACATTTTACTGTTGCGTTAAACAGAGGCTACAGTTAAGGAATTGCGCCCAGTAAATCCTCCCCGGCCAGGATACGAACCCATGACATAGCGCTCGCGGAATTGCGGAAAAAATCGCGGAATTCAGAGATAACACCATCAATGGAGTCTAAGAAATGTGTAAATAATTCATTCATAATGATGTACTGTCTAAGCGAACTGTCTAAGCGAAGTATCCAAAATTTGCTTACTGTAAAGCTGCCGCCAAATTGAGTGGGTGTGGGGCAAGACTGGTAACTGTGTGACTCAACATAAATGTAAAGTGCCTAGTATAGTGACTGTTGTGGCCTTTTCTTCAATCACTTGTGATATAAAAAGATTATTGATATGTATATGTAGTTGTGTAAATGATTGTATATATATGTACATGTGTATATAGCATTAACAATTGTGTAACTAGTTTCGAAAGATTGTCACTTGCTTAGCTAAATGAACTATGGGGTTCAGTTCCTGAACCCGTTATGTGCCTCTGTAACCCTTTCCACCACCACCACCCACGGGATGGGTATAGGGTGCATAATAAGGAAAGCAATTAAATTATAAGTTAGTGTTAAGAGACATCAGTCAACAGTGTAAAGATTACTTGGATGATATTGTAATATATCACAATAACTGTTAAGACCATATAGAAGGTTAAGCTAAACTATTGAAATGCTTAAAGGAGTCTAATCTAACTGTAAATGTGCACAAATGTGTTATTTATGATATGAAGTTGGAAACGGGAAGGAGTTACCACTTAAGAATTAAATACATATTATAAATTAGCCTCTATTACCTAGCAAGAAAGAGATACAAAGATATCTGGGGATGTGTGCATGACATTATGATGTGTGCATCCGTGGTGTAGTGGTAAGACACTCGCCTGGCATTCCGCGAGCACTATGTCATGGGTTCGTATCCTGGCCGGGGAGGATTTACTGGGCGCAATTCCTTAACTGTAGCCTCTGTTTAACGCAACAGTAAAATGTGTACTTGAATGAAAAAACGATTCTTCGCGGCAGGGGATCGTATTCCAGGGACCTGCCCGAAACGTTACGCGTACTAGTGGCTGTACAAGAATGTAACAACTCTTGTATATATCTCAAAAAAAAAAAAAAAAAAATGAATAGGAAGTTTTGTATAAAATTTTGCAGTGATTGCAGCTTCTCTGACAAACTTGTTATATAAGAATGTAACGTTTAAATTGTCTCAGGAAGCTTACTAAATTGACAGGAATGATGTCATCAGGTCCAGTTATAGCTAGTCCTGACTACCCTAAACCCTTTAAACTGAATATATAGGTGCTTCAGACTGGGATACTGATGCAGGAATGTGATGGTAGTATTGATCATCCATTACATTGCTATTCTAAGAAATTTACTAAACAAGTATTCAACAGTGGAGAAAGAGGCTTTATCATTATTACTGGCAGTAAAGAAATTTAACCTTTATGTATCAGCAAATACTGTTGAGGTTTTCAGAGACCACAATCCCTTAACGTTTATTTCTTATATGAAAAAGTCAAATCAGAGAATATTAAAATGGTCATTATTGTTGCAAGATTATAAGGTAGTCATCAAAAATGTTCTAGGTAAATTTAACACATTAGCAGATGATCTTTCTTGATTTCAAACCTCTGGGTTGATTATGTTATACATTTGCACACAGTTGTATATATTGTTGTACATATGCTGCTTATTACTTTAATATACAACTTGGGTAAACTTATTATTGAAATCTTTTTTTAGTTGGTAAAAATATGATAACAAAAAAATGTGAAATTGACTTCCAGAAAATTTCAATTTTTTCCCATTGTTTCGGAGGAATGTTACGAACCTTGTCTCCTGTATAAATATTTTGGTAGAAACAGCTAGGTTACATAACAATATAGCTAAAAGAGAGAAAGCTACATAAAAGTCGATATATGTTTCCTGGCGGTATCAGTCACAGCTGGCTGCTGTGTGGTCGTGTGTCACTGATAACACTCAGCCCATGAAATGAGTACCGAGAGTTAGAGGTTTATTTTGGAGTATATGTTTATTGTATGTAAATCTTTTGCAAAGGAAAAATAAATTTATTTATATAACTCCCAATTAGAGTACTGGTAAATGGAATATATTGAGAGTGGTCAGAAATGATGAGAGATCTTGTATCAAGAGGCTGGTGACGTGGGAAAACTAGGCGGACGCCGACGAGATTTGACGAAGAGAGGATGTGCTAACTGACGGCCTTGATTTTAGAGGGTTACATTTTGCCAGATATGCCACAATTTTGTATTTAATCAAGCTGCATGAGATCCTAGAGTAGTCTGAGGTACTACTAAGTGGGATAAATAGCGAGAGTGTCCAGGTGTATTAATATATTTATATGTGTATGGTTAAAATAATGGTATGTGTGGTTGCTCAAGAAACTTACGATTATTGGATCAGAGTATTGTATTTAGGTTTACTATATTGCTTGTGATCTTTGAGAAAGGTAAACCATATTGGTGATTGACGATTACTGTACATGTGTGAAGTTCATTAGGATATGAGGAGTTTTCTACTGAATATTTTACCAATTAGAGGAATTTACTTGTAGTAAATATATATTTATTTTTGTTACTCTATTCAAAGGTTTCTATGCTCCTGTTGGAATTTTCCTTGGTTTAACTAGATGGCTAACGTCAATCCTACATCCCTAGACGAACAAGTAAATTAAGTGTAACTATTTGACAGGAATAATAGCCTAGGGGGACTGTCGGAAAATTTGACACCAATTACTAATATCAATGCAATTGCAGATAATATTGCTGCATTGTATACACAAGTTAACCCAAAGAAAATGTAGTTTGTAGTGGAATTTTCCGTCTATAGAAAACAGGATATCATTGCCACATACTATTATAAATTCACCAGCTATTCTGCTGGGAATTATTCTTACATACATTAATCTTTGGACTTTTACCATCATAAAACATCTCGTTTGAATTAATTTAATTATCAGAATCAAAATAAAGTAAATGTGACCCTTCTATCAGTTACTGACATCTCTACAAAGTGAGGGAGGCGTCAGTGGTGAGGGAGTGGTCAGCCATTGTTGTTAGACCTGAGGCGCAGGGAGCAAATTCGGCTCCTGTTAATTTCTCTTGGACAAAGTGTTATGGAAACCAAAGGTTTTCCGTCATCAACACGCTGTCAACATAATCAAGGAAAGTGTTCTGCCAAAACCCGTTTATCGAATCATTTTTGGCCATTAATGTCGGTAGATAGGGCGAACCAGTTAGAATGTGAACAGTCTCTTAAAAAAAGGTAATTAAGCCTTGGTCTTTATGATTCATTATACAGTGTTTTCTCTGATATAGCTGTCATATATTAGGATTCTGGCTTTACAGCTGTGCCTTTGACAGGTTAAGAAGAGGAAGCAAACTTTGTGTATCAGTTACTGGGTGACGGAAGCTGCCTCACACGTGGAAATTTAGTATCTACATCCTAGTTATATCTGGTGGACTAAGCTTGCTGTGTAATAAGATAAGGAACCTCCTCAATGTATACTAATATATGTAGTTTAATACTGTAGTTTGATTGGCTGCATATATATAAATTCAATATAAACCCCCCTCTAATGTGTAGTGGATCTATTTGTGAGATTATTGCAGAAATACAGTCCACTTAACATCATACAAATTGCTATCAAAAAATATAAATTAACGTAAATAAAAATTCTATATAAATTCATATAAATTAAATAAATATAAATCTCACAGGTCGGTTCCCACATTATATGGTCCTTCGAATCGCATTATTTGGTCCTTTGAACTGAGATTATTGGTCATCTTCGAGTCGGATGACAGATTATTTGGTCATCTTAGTACCGGATGAACCAGTTAACCAGTGGATTCATTAAATATACTAGTGCAGTGTGATTTATACAAAGCCAGTCAAAGACTGCGGCGTTGCCTCGAGCTAGCCCACGACCCCCCTCAGTTCAGTCCAGCCTCATCAGCGGTTTCAGGGTCACCCCACAGATATTTGGTGGAGTGTTATTCCGTGAAGTGACAGCGCTTATATTGAAGCCAGCCAAATTAGTGGCTGTGTCCTCCCGAGATTGTTCACGGATTTCGTGGTGTTAATTTCGTGAGAGATTATCCACAAATTTTGTGGAGTTAATTTTTTGAGGTCACTAATAATATTTAATACTTCTTGATAATATTAGAAGTTTCATAGAGGCAATTAAGAGGCTATCATCAATAATTGTGTATATTATTTCTCCAAAAGAGAAAATTATTTAATATATATTGCACTAGTGTTCTCAATATAATATTTACCAATTGCCAACCCACAACAGGGTAGGATATTACCATTGACTAGTTGAACTATTTATTATTCATCCAAGACCCATTATTACCATGGTCTAGTTATACTATATTGAACAACCTAGCACCATTAATGAATGGTGCAGACCCTATTTTGGGTGTAATTTTTAACACCTCGAGTTGAGTTGTATATAATAATTTACTTATCATCATTACACCTTTGAGTGATTAATTAGTGTCTATACCATCCTAGGGTGATATAGAAGAGCTAACCTAAAGGTACTTCCAGTGACACTGGTTTATCACTCAAATCATTAGTGTGTATGATTGTATATATATAATGTGTATTAAATTTAAGTGCTAACCTCTAGTAGAGGTAGGATTACAGCCTAGTGAGTGCAGAATTTTACCCTAGGCTACCATCAGTACTTGTTCAGTATTATGGGCAGCCCAAGTACAAGCCCCACAAGGCTTATCAACTAGCCAATATAGATAATGCAGGGAGAATGAAAAGAACCCTTGCAGGTCTTAAAGGACACTTAATAAGACAGATCAAGAAATGTGAAGATTTGTCACAACAGTCTCCAGTTGATTATGCTGACCTGGAAAGCTAATAACAAGCAGCTGCAGGTAAATTTGAGCAAATCAAATGCCAAATATCTCTCCTTGTGGAGACAGACTACTACCATCGATTCATCGGTAGCCCTACTAAATATCAGGGCATAACCATGCCTGATTATATTTCTCCAGTAGCATTATACTAAGGAGATTACAGCTGACTATAGCAACAGAGGTTGATGTTAATATCATCATTTAAAGCTGAAGATGAGTTCATGATGCCTCAGTGGCAAATCAGTGAACAGTAGCCTAAACCAGCTACAAGTCACTGCGACCAATGTCACTGAACCCACTGCAGTCTCAGAACCATACTTTACTTTAATGATGAGCTATTCAATCTTCTGAATCAATTAACTAAATTTAACCCCAATAAATCTGACGACTGATTTGATACATTTATTATTTAATCAAGATGTATTCCATGGGCCTCAGTGTTTATATATCAGTGACCAGTTACCTGAACAAGCTTCAAGTTATATCTAAAGTCACTGATCTCACTGCAGTCCCTAAATCATACTAGACTGTAGTACTTGATCACATTCAGTCTTCTGGGTTAAATAATATGTATTTAGGCTTGAATTTTAGCCTTTCAGGAGTAAAGAAGGAAATGAAATCGCATTAGACTTCTAACACTAAGTCTCCTCCAGGTCTTAGGCCTCCACCTAAGGCCTCCAACACTAGGCCTCCACCAGGCCTCCTGGTCGTCGACTAGGAGGCCTGGTCGACGACCGGGCCGCGGGGACACTAAGCCCCGGAAGCACCTCAAGGTAGCCTCAAGGTAGGTAACCCCTACAACTCTAGTACGGGACATCCGTCCTGTATGAACAGACACACAAATGTGTGATTACTAACTACTAACAACAAATTAATCTAATAATTCGAAGGAGGAGTATCGGTGTTCGTCTGTTCTAAATAGGACTTCGACCCGTGAGCAGCCCCCGGGGAATTATGTCGGAAAATCCGACACCAATTACTAATATCAATGCAATTGCAGATAATATTGCTGCATTGGATACAGAAGTTAACCCATAGAAAATGTAGCTTGTAGTGGAATTTTTCGTCTATAGAAAATGGGATATCATTGCCTCATACTATTATAAATTCACCAGCTATTCTGCTGGGAATTATTCTTACATACATTAGTCTTTGGACTTTTACCATCATAAAACATCTCGTTTGAATTAATTTAATTATCAGAATCAAAATAAAGTAAATGTTACCCTTCTATCAGTTACTGACATCTCTACAAAGTGAGGGAGGCGTCAGTGGTGAGGGAGTGGTCAGCCATTGTTGTTAGATCTGAGGCGCAGGGAGCAAATTCGACTCCTGTTAATTTCTCTTGTGCTATGGAAGTGCTATGGAAACCAAAGGTCTTCCATCATCAACACGCTGTCAACCTAATCAAGGAAAATGTTTTGCCGAAACCCGTTTATCTAATCATTTTTGGCCATTAATGTCAGTAGATAGGGGGAGAGGTTTGAATGCGAACAGCCTCTTAAAAAAAGGTAATTAAGGTCTTGGTCTTTATGATTCATTATACAGTGTTTTCTCTGATACAGCTGTCATATATTAGGATTCTGGCTTTACAGCTAGTGCCTTTGACAGGTCAAGAAGAGGAAGCAAACTTTGTGTATCAGTTACTGGGTGACGGAAGCTGCCTCACACGAGGAAATTTGGTGTCTACATCCTAGTTATATCTGGTGGACTACGTTTGCTGTGTAATAAGATAAGGAACCTCCTCAATGTATACTAATATATGTAGTTTAATACTGTAGTTTGATTGGCTGCATATATATAAATTCAATATAAAGCCCCCCCTAATGTGTAGTGGATCGATTTGTGAGATTATTGCAGAAATACAGTCTACTTAACATCATACAAATTGCTATCGAAAAATATAAATTAACGTAAAGATAAATTCTATATAAATTCATATAAAATAAATAAATATAAATCTCACAGGTCGGTTCCCACAGGGACACAGCCAAACTTATGACTGGATATTAAGGGCCAGACCGTGACAGAGAGTAAAACATCAGCAACAAAATACAAAAGGCTGTAACACAGACACCGGTAATCGAACATAACATATGTCATTACTAATATATAAGACATGATGGAATCTCCAAAGCAGCAATAAGCGTGTTAGCTCAGATCTGGGCCAGCACCCACCTTGCATCTGTCTGTATGAGCTGCTCGAGGTTCTCTGGTCTGGGCGGGTACTTGAGCACAGTGAGGAAGGCAGTAAGGTTGCCCCGGTAAGCCGTGCCCACGATGAAGGCCAACACCAGCCACGCTCCCACCACAATCTGTGTGGAGCTCCTGCTGGGGAGGCGTCTAGTGAAATCCTGCCCCAGAAGCGTCCCCACCACGTCCTGCGTCACCAGCAAGGGTCCTGGGGGACTCCGTCCTTCTCCTTCCTCTGGGGTGATGGTCGCCTCCGAGCGAGCAACCTGAGAGTCAACAACAGTGAGTGAGAGACTGACGTGCAAACAACTTGGCGGGGCTCTTCCCACCAAACATTTTAATATTCATTGCGAGAGACATTGGTTCCTATTCATATATGACAGGATATGAATAGTCAATCAATCGTGAAGTTAAATTCTTCAGGTTTACTCCCACACACTAGGAGGAAACCGTCTAGCACCAAACATATGTAACATCATAACTATATTCTTCCATACTATAAACACTCAATTACTGCATAATTGTTAGTATACTGGTATTCCTCTGTTGGGTATGGGAAACCTGGTAGGCATACTGATGTGCCCCTAGTCACAGGTCAGACTACCTGTACGGTCATCCAACCAATACTGGCCTTAACCTGACTGACCAATTAACGTGTATATCTTTCGCTAAACAACATAAGCACACTGCAACACCGGCAAACCTCTACATCACTGGAAATATTTATTATGCACGCTCACCTACATCACAACCACTCCAGAGCCATTATGTAGATGCTTGACAATAATTCACATATAGAGGAGTCTGAGGTAGTTGGCATTGCTATGTTCTCCTACACCACAAATAAAATGACTTTTTCAGGCAGGACTCTGAGCTTTACCAAATTCAACATGAACTATACCATAACATCCAACACGAACATTAGCACAACGTCTAACACAAACGTTAGCACAACATCCAAAGCTAACATTAGCACAACATCCAACACAGACATCAGCACATCACCCAACACGAATGTTAGAACAATGTTCAACACAAACATTGGCACAACGTCCAACATGAACGTTAGCATAACGTCCAACATGAACAATATCACAATGTCTAACATGGACGTTAGCTCAACGTCCAATACGAATATTAGCACAACGTTCAACAAGAACATTTGTACAACATTCAACACAAACATAAGTACAGCGTCCACCACAAACGTTAGCACAGCATCCAACACAAAGATTATCACAACATCCACCACGAACATTAACACAACATCCAACACGAGCATTTGTAGCATGTGCTACATGAACATTAGCTCAATGTCCAATATATACATTAGCACAACGTCTAATGTGATCACTGGCAACACGTCCAACAAGTTCACTATCACTAAGGAGGCATTATAATCAGATTTTCCCAAAAATGAATTAAATGAAAACTGGTTCGATTTCAATCAAACTTTTTTGACGAATTGTACATGAAAAGAGTTTCATCTGGCCCAAGTCTCAGCATCGTAGCATAAATAGGAAGGGAGAAAAAAAATATTGAAGTAGGTGTCAAAGTTATTCCAAAATGGTCAACAACGATTATCAAACACAAGTGTCAACTGAAATCATATTTATGACTTTCAGCTATCACAATAGCATATATTAAAAAAATATTATAATTAGTTTCATTAGAAAAAAAATTAAGTTAAAAAAAAATGGTTTTTTTTTTGCTTTTGTTTTGTATTTTTTTTTTTGTTTTTTTATTGGACGATTTACATGAAACTTATACACCAGACTGCACATAAGCCTATCTGTAAGGATGCCAATTTTGGAGAAAACTGGTTGATGTCAACCTCAGCCACAGATGGCAGCACCTTAGACTTTATTATTTTCATATTTATTTTCAAGTAACATAAATGTTCAAATAACTTTTTCAATTTTTATTCAATTTACATGAAACTTACACCTTGCATGTAAAGTCTATGTCTCTAAAATCGGTAGTTAGCTTTTTTCCCTAAGTTAATTTATTGATTTTATAATAGCAATAAACATGATATATTTGCATAATTTTTTTGGGGGGAACTTTAAAAATTTCTATTAGGGAAAACTAAAAATGTTTTGGAAAATATCTAACTACCGATCCTTTATTATATGCTAATGTGTCAGAAAAGTGTCATAGAATAATTATATCTGAAAGGTGGTTTTTTTATTATTTACACTTGAAAATGTGTAAAATTCGTTGAAAAACAAAAAAACAAAATAAATCTCCCTTTCTATTTACGCTACAGTACTGAAACTTGGAAGAATTGCAGCCCTTTTCATATACAACCAGTCAAAAATATTGGTTGACATTGAACAACTTTGAGTAAACAATCTAATGCCCTCTAAGCGCAACATGACCATTAGCACCACGTCCAACAATAACTTAAATTCAAGGTCCAACACAATCATTAGCACTATATATATCTATCATATGCTGTAGCAAAACTGATTGATTGATTGATTGATAAAGATTAAGCCACCCAAGAGGTGGCACGGGCATGAATAGCCCGTAAGTGGCGTAGCAAGACGTCGAACTCAAACACTAACCACGTCCAACTCAAATATTAGTATCACGTTAGTATCAAAAAGAACATAGCATAAAAAAGAAGATTAGCAATATGTCCAACAATAACATTAGCACCACGTCCAACATTACCATTAGCACCACGTCCAACATTACCATTAGCACCACGTCCAACATTACCATTAGCACCACATCCAACATTACCATTAGCACCACATCCAACATTACCATTAGCACCACGTCCAACATTACCATTAGCACCACATCCAACATTACCATTAGCACCACGTCCAGCATTACCATTAGCACCACATCCAACATTACCATTAGCACCACGTCCAACATTACCATTAGCACCACATCCAACATTACCATTAGCACCACATCCAACATTACCATTAGCACCACGTCCAACATTACCATTAGCACCACGTCCAACATTACCATTAGCACCACGTCCAACATTACCATTAGCACCACGTCCAACATTACCATTAGCACCACGTCCAACATTACCATTAGCACCACGTCCAACATTACCATTAGCACCACGTCCAACATTACCATTAGCACCACGTCCAACATTACCATTAGCACCACGTCCAACATTACCATTAGCACCACGTCCAACATTACCATTAGCACCACGTCCAACATTACCATTAGCACCACGTCCAACATTACCATTAGCACCACGTCCAACATTACCATTAGCACCACGTCCAACATTACCATTAGCACCACGTCCAACATTACCATTAGCACCACGTCCAACATTACCATTAGCACCACGTCCAACATTACCATTAGCACCACGTCCAACATTACCATTAGCACCACGTCCAACATTACCATTAGCACCACGTCCAACATTACCATTAGCACCACGTCCAACATTACCATTAGCACCACGTCCAACATTACCATTAGCACCACGTCCAACATTACCATTAGCACCACGTCCAACATTACCATTAGCACCACGTCCAACATTACCATTAGCACCACGTCCAACATTAACATTAGCACCACGTCCAACAAGAACAAAAACACAAGAATCAGCACAAGCACCACGTCCATCTGGAACAATAACACAAGGACCAACACGAGCACCACGTCCAACAGGAACAATAGACCAGGTCCAACACGAGCACCACATCCAACAGGAACAATAGACCAGGTCCAACACGAGCACCACGTCCAACAGGAACAATAAGACCAGGTCCAACACGAGCACCACGTCCAACAGGAACAATAAGACCAGGTCCAACACAAGCACCACGTCCAACAGGATCAATAAGACCAGGTCCAACACGAGCACCACGTCCAACAGGAACAATAAGACCAGGTCCAACACGAGCACCACGTCCAACAGGATCAATAAGACCAGGTCCAACACGAGCACCACGTCCAACAGGAACAGTAAGACCAGGTCCAACACGAGCACCACGTCCAACAGGAACAGTGTTGTGGTCACACGTTGATGGTCAGGTGTGCCACTTGTGTGGCGCACCTGTGTGTGTTCCCTCTAAGAATGTCACCAAACACGCTCTGTGAGGCCTTGCATTTCTTGCCATAATGTCTGACATATTGCTAATTCTCAGTATCACTCCTGAGCCCAACTTGGCTCACAGGGTCAGTCCTGAGCCCAACTTGGCTCACAGTGTCACTCCTGAGCCCAACTTGGCTCACAGTGTCACTCCTGAGCCCAGCTTGGCTCACAGTGTCAGTCCTGAGCCCAGCTTGGAGCACAGTGTCAGTCTTGAGCCCAGCTTGGCTCACAGTGTCAGTCCTGAGCCCAGCTTGGCTCACAGTGTCAGTCCTGAGCCCAGCTTGGCTCACAGTGTCAGTCCTGAGCCCAGCTTGGCACACAGTGTCAGTCCTGAGCCTAGCTTGGAGCACAGTGTCACTGAGCCCAGCTTGAGCCCTGAGCCCAGCTTGGCTCACCGTGTCAGTCCTGAGCCCAGCTTGGCTCACAGTGTCAGTCCTGAGCCCAGCTTGGCTCACAGTGTCAGTCCTGAGCCCAGCTTGGCTCACAGTGTCACTCCTGAGCCCAGCTTGGCTCACAGTGTCAGTCCTGAGCCCAGCTTGGCTCACAGTGTCAGTCCTGAGCCCAGCTTGGCACAGTGTCACTCCTGAGCCCAGCTTGGCTCACAGTGTCACTCCTGAGCCCAGCTTGGCTCACAGTGTCAGTCCTGAGCCCAGCTTGGCACACAGTGTCAGTCCTGAGCCTAGCTTGGAGCACAGTGTCACTCCTGAGCCCAGCTTGGCTCACCGTGTCACTCCTGAGCCCAGCTTGGCTCACAGTGTCAGTCCTGAGCCCAGCTTGGCTCACAGTGTCAGTCCTGAGCCCAGCTTGGCTCACAGTGTCAGTCCTGAGCCCAGCTTGGCTCACAGTGTCACTCCTGAGCCCAGCTTGGCTCACAGTGTCAGTCCTGAGCCCAGCTTGGCTCACAGTGTCACTCCTGAGCCCAGCTTGGCTCACAGTGTCACTCCTGAGCCCAGCTTGGCTCACAGTGTCACTCCTGAGCCCAGCTTGGATCACAGTGTCAGTCCTGAGCCCAGCTTGGCTCACAGGGTCAGTCCTGAGTCCAACTTGGCTCACAGTGTCACTCCTGAGCCCAGCTTGGCTCACAGTGTCACTCCTGAGCCCAGCTTGGCTCACAGTGTCACTCCTGAGCCCAGCTTGGCTCACAGTGTCACTCCTGAGCCCAGCTTGGCTCACAGTGTCACTCCTGAGCCCAGCTTGGCTCACAGTGTCAGTCCTGAGCCCAGCTTGGCTCATAAGTATACTGTCTAGAGAACATTGTCTTTAAGCTGCAGAATTTCAGCTTGAGGCGCTGTGTAACGTTCCTCGAACAGTCTCCCGGAAGCTGCTCGTTTGGAAGTCATCCAATTGCAACTTCATCTTCAAACACTGATTTCTAAGGAAGATTGTTTTCCTTCTTGATTTAACTGCTGCAACACTGTTTTGTTCCCAAGTGTACAATGTCGTCTGACCTACACAGAAACACTTGTTAGTCCTTCAAGGCGAGTTATTCCGTAACCTCTTTGTCAATTGTCTTTAATCTTCTTTCTTTAGTTTCAATTTATTTTTATTTATTTATTTATTTATTTATTTATTTATTTATTTATTTATTTATTTATTTATTTATACAAGAGTGTTTACATTCTTGTACATCCACTAGTACGCATAGCATTTCGGGCAAGTCCTTAAGTCTATGTTCCTGGGAATACGACCCCGCGAAAAATCGTTTAACAACCAAGTATCTATTTTACTGTTGAGTTAAACAGAGGCTACTGTTAAGGATTTGCGCCGCCACAAGCTCGTTTCAGTGCAAATTACCATCAATACTCAGAATAGACTTAAAACAATGATCAAGCGAGAGGGGTTATTCAGTAAATTCAATTTTAATAATAAAAGGATAGATTGGGAGAAAATAAACAGGGAACTTACAAACATTCAAAGCTATAAAAATCCTACACAAGGAACAGAAAAACTGACTTATGAAGCATATGAAGCCTGTCTGAAACATGTTCCTTTGAGGAAAGCCAGAAAGAGGTCCAACGTAGAAAAAGAACGCAGACGACACTACAAAGGAAGAACAGAAAAAACGGAAATGCTTAAGCAGACACGACTTACCATACAAAGAAGGAATAATTTAAACAGTAAGATTGAAAAAATCGTGCAGAAATTGAAGAATTCATACCAGATTGATGAAAGGCAACTAGAACAGAAAGCAATTCAGGAAATAAAGAAAAAAACAAAATATTTCTTCACATATGCAAAATCAAAAGCAAAAACCACTGCCAGTATTGAACCTATTCGCATGAATGAAGATTCATACACTGAGGATTACAAAGAATTAGTGAAATCCTAAAAAAAAGCAGTATGAGGACATGTTTTGCACTCCAATAAACAGCTTGAAAGTGGAAAATCCTGACAGCGTCTTTATGCGTGATATCCAAACCCCCGTAATATAACTGATATCAACACGAGCGTGAAAGATTTTGAAAGAGAAATTGACAACGTGCCCATGCACTCAGCCCCAGGTCCAGACTCATGGAATTCAATATTTATAAGAAATGCAAAGTGCCATTAGCACAGGCACTCAGTATAGTGTGGAGGAAGAGCTTGGACACAGGGGAGATACCAGATGCGCTTAAATCAGCAAACATAGTCCCTCCACATAAGGGAGGGAGCAAAGCATTGGCAGAGAATTATTGACCAGTTGCACTAACGTCCAACATAATAAAAGTATTTGAGAGAATAATCAGGAGTGAGGTCACCAGTTTCATGAAGACCAATGACCTTCACAACCTAGGCCAACATGGATTTAGAGCGGGATGATCATGCCTCTCATAGCTACGTGACCACTATGGCAAAATCACTGAGGCATTAGAAGAAAAATTGAATGCAGATGTGGTATACACGGACGTCGCAAAGGCGTTCGATGAATGTCACCTTGGAATGATAGCACACAAAATAAGGTCAATGGGCATAACTGGTAAAGTAGGACGCTGGATACTCAGGTTTCTGTCGAACAGAACACAAAGAGTAACAGTCAACCATATAAAATCGAGTCCAAGCCCAGTTGAAAGCTCTGTACCTCAGGGTACAGTCCTTGCACCGCTGCTTTTCCTTATTCTGATATCAGATATAGACAAAATACAAGTCACAGCTTCGTATCATCCATTGCAGATGACACAAAAATCAGCGTGAAAATTATCTTTGTGTAAGACATTGAAAAACTACAAACAGATATTACAAATTTTGTAAAGAAAATAAAGTTTTCGACTTGGCAGCAGAAAATAACATGATGTTTAACAGTGATGAATTCCAGGTACTCAGGAACAATAAAAATGAGGATATTATCATAATACAGGATACAAAACACAATCAGATTTGCCCATAGTAAGAAAGCAGCATGTATGGGATTTGGGTATAATGATGTCTGACGACCTAACGTTTAGGGACCATAACCAAATATTGTGTCAGCCAGAAAAATGATAGGATGGATTACGAAACTTTCAAATCCAGGGATCCCATCACAATGGTTTTACTATTCAAAGGACTTGTGCTGTCCCGTCTTGAGTACTGCTCAGTACTCACTTCCTCTTTCAGAGCAGGAGAGATTGCTGATATAGAGGTACAGAGAACATATACGGCATACATAGACACAATAAAGCTCCTAAATTATTGGGATCGTCTCAACGCTCTCCAACTGTACTCACTAGAAAGGAAACGAGAGAGATATTATTTAAATAATATACACGTGGAAAATACTGGAGGGACAGGTCACAAATCTACACAGTAAAATAGCAACATACTGGAGTGAACGGTATTGAAGTAAATGCAGAATAGAACCAGTGAAGAGCAGGGGTGCCATAGGCACAATCAGAGAACACTGTATAAACATCAGAAGTCTGCGGTCCCAACGAATATAAGAAATATTGCTGGAACAAACGTGGACATCTTCAAGAGAAAACTAGATAGCGTTTTTTTTTCAATAACTGCCGGACAAACCGGGGTGTGGTGGATATGTGGGCTGCGGGCCACTCTAAGCAACAGCCAGTTGGACCAAGCTCTCACAAGTCAAGCCTGGCCTCGGGATGGACTTGGGGAGTAGAACACCCAGAACCCCACCAAGCAGGTATAACTAAAACAAATCATTATTCTCCTATAATACAGGAGTAACACAGTCAAGGTACTGCCCAGTCCTGAAAAATAGAAAACATTTCATAATTTACAAATGTTATTTTAGAAGCTGAGAGCAAGAACTATGGCCAAAATGAGGAGGGTCCTTTACCCACTAATTTTTCGGCTTATAATTGCACAAATACATTCTTTTGTGTGAACCAATATGAAGAGCCAGGACCAGCCTGAAGATAGTTTAATGTGGAGACCCTGCTGTAGGTACATACACATGATCATGACTCACAATACCCGGGGGCCAGGGGAACCAAGCCAGGTGCACACCCACCAGCAGGAGAATGGGCGGGACTAGGAAGGGACCAGGGAGACCAAGCCAGGTGCACACCCACCAGCAGGAGAATGGGCGGGACTAGGAAGGGACCAGGGAGACCAAGCCAGGCACACACCCACCAGCAGGAGAATGGGCGGGACTAGGAAGGGACCAGGGAGACCAAGCCAGGTGCACACTCACCAGCAGGAGAGTGGGCGGGACTAGGAAGAGAAGGCCGACCACAGCCGCCCACACCTGGCCGCTGAAGGGGTGGTAGAGGCTCTGCCAGCGAGGTGGCAGCAGGGGCTTGGCCATGGCGAAGGTCAGTGTGGCTTCCTCGATCATGAAGGTGGAGTCATGGTTTTGTGCGAGGAGGGACAACAGCGCCACCTTCGTCGACCTCAAGAAGGACACCCGCGTCCTTACGTCTTGCATGATCTGTGGATGATAGTGGTGGTGAGTGGTGGTGGTGGTGATGATGATGATGAGTGGTGGTGAGTGGTGGTGGTGGTGGTGATGATGATGAGTGGTGGTAGTGAGTGACGGATTGGTGGTGGTGGTGGTGATGATGAGTGGTGGTGGTGGTGGTGATGATGAGTGGTGGTGGTGACTGACGGAGTGGTGGAGGTGACTGACGGAGTGGTGGTGGTGACTGACGGAGTGGTGGTGGTGACTGACGGAGTGGTGGTGGTGGTGGTGAGTAACGGATTGGTGGTGGTGAGTGACGGAGTGGTGGTGATGATGAGTGGTGGTGGTGAGTGGTGGTGGTGACTGACGGAGTGGTGGTGGTGACTGACGGAGTGGTGGTGGTGACTGACGGAGTGGTGGTGGTGACTGACGGAGTGGTGGTGGTGAGTGACGGAGTGGTGGTGGTGAGTGACGGATTGGTGGTGGTGAGTGACGGAGTGGTGGTGGTGGTGGTGATGATGAGTGGTGGTGGTGGTGGTGACTGATGGAGTGGTGGTGGTGGTGGTGGTGACTGATGGAGTGGTGGTGGTGATGAGTGGTGGTGGTGGTGAGTGAGGGAGTGTTGGTGAGTGACGGAGTGGTGATGAGTGACGGAGTGGTGGTGGTGAGTGACGGAGTGGTGGTGGTGGTGAGTGACGGAGTTGTGGTGGTGGTGGTGAGTGAGGGAGTGGTGGTGAGTGACAGAGTGGTGGTGAGTGACAGAGTGGTGGTGGTGGTGGTGATGAGTGTTGGTGGTGGTGAGGGTGGTGGTGATGATGGTGAGTGAGGGAGTGTTGGTGAGTGAGACCCATACCCATCCTGTGGGCGGGTGTTGTAATCCACAAGTTAGGAGTGAATGTTAGCTAGAGAATCATTACTACAATACTTAACAAATGATGAATAGAAGTACATGTTAATTATTTCAGACTGTGGACACACATCGAGGTAAGGTCAGGGGATTAAGACAGCAGCTGCTTGCCCAAACGTATGTAGCAGCCAAGAAGACAAAGGGTGACCTCACGTTTCAAGGAACAAGGTGACCTACGGTTATATATCCTCCTTGGGAGGCAAGTGTGTGATGGTTGAAGCTATTGCTGGCTGAGGACAGTCTGTTGGGAGGAGTGGAACGGGCAAGTCCTCCTGATCTCCGTCTGTGGCAGCAATAAAGTGGAACTGACAAATATGTGGGGACTCGATGTGATCTCGTTGATCAAGTCAAGTCTACAGTATGTGAGTATTGAATGGAAGACTAACTGGGTGTGTTGAGTTGAAATGATGATTCAGTATTAGGGACTTAGGCGGAGGTTTCAAGCGCAGGTGGTGACTGGGGAGGTTTAGTGGGTTTATGGGTGTGGGAAGATGATTTAACCAGAGAGAGTAAGTTAATGTATTATTCATTGTCAAAGTATATTTCATGTAATTAAATTGGAAAACCCGACGGGCTTTTATCACCTTCCATATGTTGTCATTGAATTCCTACAAGTTCAAGTTCAAGTATGTTTATTGAGACAAGAAAGAAATACATCTCAAAGGGATAGAGTAGCTCAGGCTATTTCTGCCCCCTCTACCTGTACAAACCTAGTGGTACGTCTCAAGGGTCAGGTGTGCAGAAGTACACGGTGGTAGTAACGGTTGCTGAGGCAAGGAGTTATGTGTTGTGTAATCGCTGTGAACGGAATGAACCAGGGTTCAGTGATCACGACACGGTAGTGGACCACCATACCCATTGTGTGGGCGGTAGTGAACCCCCCATACGCATCCTGAGGGCAGTAGTGCACCACCATACCCATCTTGAGGGCAGTAGTGCACCACCATACCCATCCTGTGGGCAGTAGTGCACCACCATACCCATCCTGAGGGCAGTAGTGCACCACCATACCCATCCTGTGGGCAGTAGTGCACCACCATACCCATCCTGAGGGCAGTAGTGTACCACCATACCCATCCTGTGGGCAGTAGTGCACCACCATACCCATCCTGAGGGCAGTAGTGCACCACCATACCCATCCTGAGGGCAGTAGTGCACCACCATACCCATCCTGTGGGCAGTAGTGCACCACCATACCCATCCTGTGGGCATTAGTGAGCCGCACACCCATCTTGTGGACAGTAGTGCGGTAGTGGAGAAACTTTCCACCCAAATTATAGCATAAAATTTCCACCAAAATTATAGATTTTTGTGACGTCGCCTAAACAACAACAACGGGTTTGTAGAATATAGAAATGTATTTGTTTTGTTTTATAATAGGTTAGGTTAGGTTGGTTTGACGGGGCTTATGAATTGAATAAGAGAAAGATATGAGCAATGATACAATAAACCAAATATGAGTGGTTACAAGGCATCATGACACAGCCCGTGATGTCACATGCAGAGAACATTAGAGATTAAGGAATGTGCTAATGAGAGACCGGGTCCTTCCTTGGAACACCTTGTAACATTGTGTTTTAAAGCAACGTGTCCTATTGGTGGATCAAACTGCATTGGGGATGATGACGTCAGAAAGAAGGTAACTGCAGAAGGCCTATTTCAAAACATGCGAGGCCGTTTTTACTCAATGCACTTCATATATATGTATAGTGAATGAGTATTTAGATTTTTATATGCTACAAAAGAGTGTGGGAGGCATGTTTTTGAGCGAATGTGAGACGCGCATAGGACTAACAGCAATATATTTATAATGGATTACTTCTGAACTCTCTATTGAAGTCACCATGCCTGAAGGGTCTGTTTTCATACAAATGGCTGAATTACCTCTGAATTCGTCGGTAATTCAATTGTGACATTCGTCGGGGAGTCGGTAAGTGGTACTTACAGTCTGTGTGTGGTACTGGACTTACAGAGGCACAAAGTGGGTTAACATAACATCTAGGTAACTAGATGTATTGGGCTAACGTAACATCATAGTAGCATCTAGGGGTCTAAGCCGAGCAGTAGTAACATCTAGGGGGTCTGCTGATTATATTGGATGATCCATTAATGTGTCGCTCTTCTTGCATGATAGTATGATGATTGATGGAATTACTAGTGTACCTATCATTTTGCCTCATATCTACAAGATTTTGTTGAAGTTCTAGGTGAGCTATTGCTCTCAGACTGCTTATTGACACTCCAAGGTTATACTGAATTTCTCCTTTAAAGGCAGATTCTTTGGCTAACTCATCAGCTCTATCATTCATTCCGAGGCCATCATGAGATGGAGACCACATGAAATGGACTGATGTTACCATCATTATTAATTTTGTTGTATTTGTGTCTAGCTTCAGACACGAGCATGTTACAGTTATGTCTTAAAGAGTTGAGAGCTATTAATTAAGGATGATCAATAGTCACTTACAATTAATGTATCAACTTGTACACATGTGGAGTATACAGGAAAATAATCAGACAGGATGGTTGAATAGACATAATTGTGGAACAGAGGGATATTGAGATAGATAGTATGGTGTGACAAGCAGGCAGGTGGTTCGGACAGGCTGGTGGATCAGGGCTGCTGAACAGAAGGATTTGGGAAAAGTAAGTTTGTGAGACATGCAAGAATGCGAGATAGAACATACTGTGGGACAGACAGGATGCTGAAATATAATTACGAGCTATTCATGCCCGTGCCACCTCTTGGGTGGCTTAATCTTTATCAATCTGAAATATAAGTTTTATTGGACAGAAAGGAGAATGTGACAGGCATGATGGTGAGCCAGGCATAGAGTAAAAAAATATTTTATTATCAACGTTTTCAGAAAACCTCCACTAAATGTCTTCAGCATTAATTATCAAAAAGTTGTATCATGTCAGTTATATTCCAAAATAATAGATCAATAAAGTTTTGATAAGAAAAATCACACATAAAAGCGTTTGGAAGTAAAATTCAGGTTAAAGTAAAATGCCAGGCCTTACATCATTACTGTTAGTTGGAGGGATGGCCCTGAAGGTGAAGTTGAGAGCCCCAGCAATGGTCTCCAGGATGATGTAGTCCCGTCCCGTGGTGCGGGAGACCTTGCTGCCGTCCGCTGCCCTCTCCTCCACCACCATCCAGATGGGCTCGAAGGCTAGAGCAGTTACGTTAACCATCGCTCCGTAGAAACTGAAGAGAGAGTGATTGGAACTGAATAAGTCTGGTTGATTGCCTGATTACCTACCATTATTCGCACGATTTAGCACTATAATATGAGTACAGTATTAGAAAAGAGCCAAGTTTACAAGGCTTCCTGGTCCAGGCCAAGGCGTCCAAATTTACACTACTCACATGCAGCACTCGTCCATGCTACGCTTCAAGTAAGCCAGTGCTATAACATGTATATTGTGTAGCCGGCTAACTTGCTCTCTAACCAGGTGTTCCCAGCCAGGTGTTCCCAGCCAGGTGTTCCCAGCCAGGTGTTCCCAGCCAGGTGTTCCCAGCCAGGTGTTCCTAGCCGGGTGTTCCCAGCCAGGTGTTCCCAGCCAGGTGTTCCCAGCCGGGTGTTCCCAGCCAGGTGTTCCCAGCCAGGTGTTCCCAGCCGGGTGTTCCAAGCCAGGTGTTCCCAGCCGGGTGTTCCCAGCCGGGTGTTCCCAGCCGGGTGTTCCCAGCCAGGTGTTCCAAGCCAGGTGTTCCCAGCCAGGTGTTCCCAGCCAGGTGTTCCCAGCCAGGTGTTCCCAGCCAGGTGTTCCCAGCCGGGTGTTCCCAGCCGGGTGTTCCCAGCCAGGTGTTCCCAGCCAGGTGTTCCCAGCCAGGTGTTCCCAGCCAGGTGTTCCCAGCCAGGTGTTCCCAGCCAGGTGTTTCCAGCCAGGTGTTCCCAGCCAGGTGTTCCCAGCCAGGTGTTCCTAGCCGGGTGTTCCCAGCCAGGTGTTCCCAGCCAGGTGTTCCCAGCCAGGTGTTCCCAGCCAGGTGTTCCTAGCCGGGTGTTCCCAGCCAGGTGTTCCCAGCCAGGTGTTCCCAGCCAGGTGTTCCCAGCCAGGTGTTCCCAGCCAGGTGTTCCTAACCGGGTGTTCCCAGCCAGGTGTTCCCAGCCAGGTGTTCCCAGCCAGGTGTTCCTAGCCGGGTGTTCCCAGCCAGGTGTTCCCAGCCAGGTGTTCCCAGCCAGGTGTTCCCAGCCAGGTGTTCCCAGCCAGGTGTTCCCAGCCAGGTGTTCCTAGCCAGGTGTTCCCAGCCAGGTGTTCCCAGCCAGGTGTTCCCAGCCAGGTGTTCCAAACCAAGTACTCACTTAGTTGTGCTTGCGGGAGTTGAGCTCTGGCTCTTTGGCCCCCGCCTCTCAACTGTCAATCAACTGGTGTACAGATGCCTGAGCCTACTGGGCTCTATCATACCTACATTTGAAGCTGTGTATGGAGTCAGCCTCCACCACATCACTGCCTAATGCATTCCATCTGTTAACTACTCTGACACTGAAATAATTCTTTCTAATGTCTCTGTGGCTTATTTGGGGACTAAGTCTTTACCTGAGTCCCCTTGTTCGTGTCCCACCCGCACTAAAGAGTTTGTCTTTGTCCACCCTGTCAATTCCACTGAGAATTTTGTAGGTGGTTATCATGTCTCCCCTTACTCTTCTGTTTTCCAGGGACGTGAGGTTCAGCTCCCTTAGCCTTTCCTCGTAGCTCATACCTCTCAGTTCCGGGACGAGCCTGGTGGCATACCGCTGAATCTTCTCTAACTTTGTCTTGTGTTTAACTAGGTATGGAGTCCAGGCTGGAGCTGCATAATACAGAATTGGTCTGACATAGGTGGTATACAGGATCCTGAACGATTCCTTACACAAGTTTCTAAAAGCAGTTCATATGTTGGCCAATCTAGCATATGCCACTGATGATATCCTTTTGATGTGGGCCTCTGGGGACAGGCTCGGTGTGATATCAACCCCCAGTTCTTTCTCTCTATTCGACTCATGCAGGATATCACCTCCCAGATGGTACCTTGTGTTCAGCCTCCTGCTCCCTTCGCCTAACCTTACACTATCTTGAGTTGAACTTTAGCAGCCATTTTCTAGACCATTTCTCCAGCCTGTCCAGGTCGTCCTGTAGTCTCTGTCTATCTTCAACTGTCTTGATTCTTCTCATAATTTTTACAGGTGAGTGTCCCACCTGCAGGAGACGCTTCTTCACCCACAGGGTTATTAACCCATGGAACCGCCTACCCACCGAAGCCGTAAATGCCAAAACTCTGTTACGTTTTAAAATCTACCTGGAAAAGATCTCATAGAGCTGCTACTACAGGACACAGCCCCTTCAGGAGCTGCTACTCCAGGAGACAGCCCCTTCAGGAGCTGCTACTCCAGGAGACTGTCCCTTCAGGAGCTGCTACTCCAGGAGACAGCCCCTTCAGGAGCTGCTACTCCAGGAGACAGCCCCTTCAGGAGCTGCTACTCCAGGAGACAGCCCCTTCAGGAGCTGCTACTCCAGGAGACAGCCGCTTCAGGAGCTGCTACTCCAGGAGACTGCCCCTTCAGGAGCTGGTACTCCAGGAGACTGCCCCTTCAAGAGCTGCTACTCCAGGAGACAGCCCCTTCAGGAGCTGCTACTCCAGGAGACAGCCCCTTCAGGAGCTGCTACTCCAGGAGACAGCCCCTTCAGGAGCTGCTACTCCAGGAGACAGCCCCTTCAGGAGCTGCTACTCCAGGAGACAAACTAACTCCCCGAGCAATTTAGAAAATAAGAAAAAAAATCTGTTTAGTAGTTTAATTTCTATCGATCTAGGACTCTTCTTCTTTATTGAGGGAGTTACAGAATAAATCCCACAATATCTGTCCACACCTGTCTACAGATCTACACCTGTTTACACATCTACACCTGTCTACATATCTATATTGATTCCTACTATTTCGCAACATCTTCACAAACTGCAATATTATTCTCACTTTTTGAACTTCTGTGGAAACAGGTGGTGTTGAGACAGGAGCACCAGTCCCCTAGCAGGTGTCCAGGTGGCTACGTGGACCACCTGCGGCCCCAGCTGGCTGTATGGCAGGTGTGTGTAGGTGTCCCATCTGCCGGAGGAAGAGGAAGTGTCAGAGACCCCTGCTAGCTGTATGGCAGGTGTGTGTAGGTGTCCCACATGCTGGCTGTATGACAGGTGTGTGTAAGTGTCCCACATGCTGACTCTATGGCAGGTGTGTGTGATCCACCTGCTGCCTGTATTGCAGGTGTGTGTTAGTGTCCCACCTGCTGGCTGTATGGTTGGTGTGTGTAAGTATCCCACCTGCTGACGGCATGGCAGGTGTGTGTAAGTATCCAAACTGCTGGCTGTATGGCAGGTGTGTGTGTCCCACCTGCTCGCTATATGGCAGGTGTGTGTTTCCCACCTGCTGGCTGTATGGCAGGTGTGTGTGTCCCACCTGCTGGCTGTATGGCAGGTGTGTGTGTCCCACCTGCTGGCTGTATGGCAGGTGTGTGTGTCCCACCTGCTGGCTGTATGGCAGGTGTGTGTAAGTGTCCCACCTGCTGGCTGTATGGCAGGTGTGTGTAAGTGTCCCACCTGCTGGCTGTATGGCAGGTGTGTGTAGGTGTTCCACCTGCTGGCTGTATGGCAGGTGTGTGTAAGTGTCCCACCTGCTGGCTGTATGGCAGGTGTGTATGTCCCACCTGCTGGCTGTATGGCAGGTGTGTGTGTAGGTGTCTCACCTGCTGGCGGTATAGCAGGTGTGTGTGTCCCACCTGCTGGCTGTATGGCAGGTGTGCATGTCCCAACTGCTGGCTGTATGGCAGGTGTGTGTGTCCCACCTGCTGGCTGTATGGCAGGTGTGTGTGTCCCACCTACTGGCTGTATGGCAGGTGTGTGTAAGTGTCCCACCTGCTGGCTGTATGGCAGGTGTGTGCGTAGGTGTCTCATCTGCTGGCGGTATAGCAGGTGTGTGTGTCCCACCTGCTGGCTGTATGGCAGGTGTGTGTGTCCCACCTGCTGGCTGTATGGCAGGTGTGTGTAAGTGTCCCACCTGCTGGCTGTATGGCAGGTGTGTATGTCCCACCTGCTGGCTGTATGGCAGGTGTGTGTGTCCCACCTGCTGGCTGTATGGCAGGTGTGTGTGTCCCACCTGCTGGCTGTATGGTAGGTGTGTGTAGGTGTCCCACCTGCTGGCTGTATGGCAGGTGTGTGTGTGTCCCACCTGCTGGCTGTATGGCAGGTGTGTGTGTCCCACCTGCTGGCTGTATGGCAGGTGTGTGTGTCCCACCTGCTGGCTGTATGGCAGGTGTGTGTGTCCCACCTGCTGGCTGTATGGTAGGTGTGTGTAGGTGTCCCACCTGCTGGCTGTATGGCAGGTGTGTGTGTGTTCCTCCTGCTGGCTGTATGGCAGGTGTGTATGTCCCAACTGCTGGCTGTATGGCAGGTGTGTGTGTCCCACCTGCTGGCTGTATGGCAGGTGTGTGTGTGTTCCACCTGCTGGCTGTATGGCAGGTGTGTGCGTCCCAACTGCTGGCTGTATGGCAGGTGTGTGTGTCCCAACTGCTGGCTGTATGGCAGGTGTGTGTAAGTGACCCAACTGCTGGCTGTATGGCAGGTGTGTGTAAGTGTCCCACCTGCTGGCTGTATGGCAGGTGTGTGTGAGTGACCCCACCTGCTGGCTGTATGGCAGGTGTGTGTGAGTGACCCCACCTGCTGGCTGTATGGCAGGTGTGTGTGTGTTCCACCTGCTGGCTGTATGGCAGGTGTGTGTGTCCCAACTGCTGGCTGTATGGCAGGTGTGTATGTCCCAACTGCTGGCTGTATGGCAGGTGTGTGTGTCCCACATGTTGGCTGTATGGCAGGTGTGTGTGTTCTACCTGCTGGCTGTATGGCAGGTGTGTGTAAGTGTCCCACCTGCTGGCTGTATGGCAGGTGTGTGCAAGTGTCCCACCTGCTGACTGTATGGCAGGTGTGTGTGTCCCACCTGCTGACTGTATGGCAGGTGTGTGTGGGTGTTCCACCTGCTGGACAGTGACCATCAGTGTGGACAGTGACTGTCAGTGTGGACAGTGACTGTCAGTGTGGACAGTGACTGTCAGTGTGGACAGTGACTGTCAGTGTGGACAGTGACTGTCAGTGTGGACAGTGACCGTCAGTGTGGACAGTGACCATCAGTGTGGACAGTGACTGTCAGTGTGGACAGTGACTGTCAGTGTGGACAGTGACTGTCAGTGTGGACAGTGACTGTCAGTGTGGACAGTGTCCGTCAGTATGGACGTGACCATCAGTGTGGACAGTGACCATCAGTGTGGACAGTGACCGTCAGTGTGGTCAGTGACCATCAGTGAGGACAGTGACCGTCAGTGTGGACAGTGACTGTCAGTATGGACAGTGACCGTCAGTGTGAACATTGTCCATAAGTGAGGACAGTGACCTCCATTGTGGACAGTGACCGTCAGTGTGGACAGTGTCCATCATTGTGGACAGTGACAATCATTGTGGACAGTGCCCATTAGTGTGGACAGTGATCGTCAGTGTGGACAGTGACTGTCAGTGTGGACAGTGACTGTCAGTGTGGACAGTGACTGTCAGTGTGGACAGTGACTGTCAGTGTGGACAGTGTCCAACTGTCCACACTGACAGTCACGTCACTGACGTCAGTATGGACAGTGACCGTCAGTGTGGACAGTGACCATCAGTGTGGACAGTGACCATCAGTGTGGACAGTGACTGTCAGTGTGGACAGTGACTGTCAGTGTGGACAGTGACTGTCAGTGTGGACAGTGACTGTCAGTGTGGACAGTGTCCGTCAGTATGGACGTGACGATCAGTGTGGACAGTGACCATCAGTGTGGACAGTGACCGTCAGTGTGGTCAGTGACCATCAGTGAGGACAGTGACCGTCAGTGTGGACAGTGACTGTCAGTATGGACAGTGACCGTCAGTGTGAACATTGTCCATAAGTGAGGACAGTGACCTCCATTGTGGACAGTGACCGTCAGTGTGGACAGTGTCCATCATTGTGGACAGTGACAATAATTGTGGACAGTGCCCATTAGTGTGGACAGTGATCGTCAGTGTGGACAGTGACTGTCAGTGTGGACAGTGCCCATTAGTGTGGACAGTGACCGTCAGTGTGGACAGTGACCGTCAGTGTGGACAGTGCCCGTTAGTGTGGACAGTGACCGTCAGTGTGGACTGTGACTGTCAGTGTGGACAGTGACCGTCAGTGTGGACAGTGACCGTCAGTGTGGACAGTGACTGTCAGTGTGGACAGTGACCGTCAGTGTGGACAGTGCCTATTAGTGTGGACAGTGACCGTCAGTGTGGAGAGTGACCGTCAGTATGGACAGTGACCGTCAGTGTGGACAGTGCCCATTAGTGTGGACAGTGACCGTCAGTGTGGACAGTGACCGTCAGTGTAGACAGTGACCGTCAGTGGGGAGAGTGACCGTCAGTGTAGACAGTGACCGTCAGTGTGGACAGTGACCGTCAGTGTGGACAATGACCGTCAGTGTGGACAGTGACCGTCAGTGAGGAGAGTGACCATCAGTGTGGAGAGTGACCGTCAGTGTGGACAGTGACCGTCAGTGTGGACAGCGACTGTCAGTGTGGACAGTGCCCATTAGTGTGGACAGTGACTGTCAGTGAAGACAGTGACCGTCAGTGTGGACAGTGCCTATTAGTGTGGACAGTGACCGTCAGTGTGGACAGTGACCATCAGTGTGGAGAGTGACCGTCAGTGTGGACAGTGACCGTCAGTGTGGACAGTGACCGTCAGTGTGGACAGTGCCCATTAGTGTGGACAGTGACTGTCAGTGAAGACAGTGACCGTCAGTGTGGACAGTGCCTATTAGTGTGGACAGTGACCGTCAGTGTAGACGGTAACCATCAGTGTGGACAGTGCCCATCAGTGTGGACAGTGACCGTCAGTGTGGTCAGTGACCATCAGTGAGGACAGTGACCGTCAGTGTGGACAGTGACTGTCAGTATGGACAGTGACCGTCAGTGTGAACATTGTCCATAAGTGAGGACAGTGACCTCCATTGTGGACAGTGACCGTCAGTGTGGACAGTGTCCATCATTGTGGACAGTGACAATCATTGTGGACAGTGCCCATTAGTGTGGACAGTGATCGTCAGTGTGGACAGTGACTGTCAGTGTGGACAGTGCCCATTAGTGTGGACAGTGACCGTCAGTGTGGACAGTGACCGTCAGTGTGGACAGTGCCCGTTAGTGTGGATAGTGATGGTCAGTGTGGACTGTGACTGTCAGTGTGGACAGTGACCGTCAGTGTGGACAGTGACCGTCAGTGTGGACAGTGACTGTCAGTGTGGACAGTGACCGTCAGTGTGGACAGTGCCTATTAGTGTGGACAGTGACCGTCAGTGTGGAGAGTGACCGTCAGTATGGACAGTGACCGTCAGTGTGGACAGTGCCCATTAGTGTGGACAGTGACCGTCAGTGGGGAGAGTGACCGTCAGTGTAGACAGTGACCGTCAGTGTAGACAGTGACCGTCAGTGGGGAGAGTGACCGTCAGTGTAGACAGTGACCGTCAGTGTGGACAGTGACCGTCAGTGTGGACAATGACCGTCAGTGTGGACAGTGACCGTCAGTGAGGACAGTGACCATCAGTGTGGAGAGTGACCGTCAGTGTGGACAGTGACCGTCAGTGTGGACAGCGACTGTCAGTGTGGACAGTGCCCATTAGTGTGGACAGTGACTGTCAGTGAAGACAGTGACCGTCAGTGTGGACAGTGCCTATTAGTGTGGACAGTGACCGTCAGTGTTGACAGTGACCATCAGTGTGGAGAGTGACCGTCAGTGTGGACAGTGACCGTCAGTGTGGACAGTGACCGTCAGTGTGGACAGTGCCCATTAGTGTGGACAGTGACTGTCAGTGAAGACAGTGACCGTCAGTGTGGACAGTGCCTATTAGTGTGGACAGTGACCGTCAGTGTAGACGGTAACCATCAGTGTGAACAGTGCCCATCAGTGTGGACAGTGACCGTCAGTGTGGTCAGTGACCATCAGTGAGGACAGTGACCGTCAATGTGGACAGTGACTGTCAGTATGGACAGTGACCGTCAGTGTGAACATTGTCC